TTCGTTTTGTGCAATATTTTTATTCGTTAAGAGATGTGTTATAAGAAAATCGACTACCACCATCAAAAATATGATTCTTAAATTATTTTAATGAAATTAGTATATACGTACACACACTACGGTGAGATTAGAAAAAAAAAAATTATATTACATTATTTTAATTACTGTACGATAGCTCGAAAAATATATTCTAATAATAATAAATAAATAAATAAATAAAATAGAAGCCGAAAATAGGATGAATAATAATTAAAGGAAAGCACAATAATAAAGTTAATAGAAATGAAAAAGAAAATAGAAAAATTTCTCGGTCGGTGAAAAGAGATTTTAGTTTTCAAAAAACGCGATTACTGCAATAAATGAAAAAAGAAAAAAAAAGTAATAATAATAATAACAAAAATAATAATTAGTACTAATAAATGAAAGAGAATGCAATAATTATCTTAATAATGATTTAAACGAAAAGAAAACAAAAGAATAAATAATACTAATTAAAAAAAAAAAAAAAAAAAAGAAAAAGATTAAGAAAATAAAAAGAAAAGGAATACTTAAATGAAGCACGATAAAAATATCTATTTCCGAAATAATTTTTCTCTCGAACATCGAACGAACTAATAATTTACGATCAATTACAATCAATTGAAAAAATGATCAATCAGCATTTCTCGTAATTTTTTTTCTTTCTTTCTTTTTTTTTTTTTTTTTTTTTTTTTTTGCGAGCCATCGTACGTACGTATGTATTATTATTAAACGCATCGATTTAGAAGCGTTCGCGCGTGTATAAAAAACAAAAATATATATATATATAAAAACAAAAATGAAAATAATAAACAAATAAATAAATAAATAAAATGAAAGAAGAGAGAAATAATTAAAAACGCACGAGAAAAGAAAGAAACAAAAATGGGGGAAACAAAAAAAAAAAAGAAAAAAAAAAAGAAAAAAAAGAAAATGAAAAAGAAAAGAATCGAAAAAATCGTGTTAGAACGGACGAGGGTTAGGAAACGGTTTTGCACATTTTTTGCTCACACTGTGTTCCACACACCGGACTTTACCTCTGACCACATCGGGCGGCAACTCTTTCGGCTCGTTCTCCCGTATGATCAGCTCCGGCTTTCGAGGTCGCACTATGGAGTTCACAAGACATCTCTTTGTCGCATTAGCGATCTCTCTCTCTTTCTCTCTTTCTCTCTTTCTCTCTCTCTCTCTTTCTCTCTCTCTATCTCTGTTTCTTTCTCTTATTCTTTTTTTCTATTCTCACACTCTCACTTTTTAACTCTTTCTCTCACTCTTATCTCACTCTCACTCTCATTCTTATTTTCCTATCTCTTACTCTTTCTCTCACTCTCTCTCTCTCTCTCTCTCTCTCTTTCTCTCTCTTTCTTGCTCTCTGACTCTATCTCTGTCTCTCGCACGTATCGTATTTACACGTACGTAATTACGTTAATCCAAAAGTACCTTCTCCTCTTCTTTCATTTTCATCCGACCATATATATTTTCAACCTTGACAAATTCTCTTTTTCAATTCTTCTTTTGTTTTTGCAAGATAAAGAGAAGAGAAAAATATGAGGAAGAAGCAAAAAAAAAAAAAGAAAAAAAAAAGAAGAAATACACACAGAGAAAAATGGACGTCGTCGCGGAATATTAATGAATTTACGTTTTGTAGGAAAAAATAAAAAGATTGTATAATAATAATAATAATAATAATAATAATAATAATAATAATAATAATAATTATTATTATTATTATTATTATTATTGTTGTTATTGTTAGTTATATTAGATCTACAGAGATACAGAGAGAGATAGAGAGAGACTGAGAGAGAGAGAGAGAGAGAGAGAGAGAGAGGGAGAGATGAAGATAAAGAAAGAGAGTATTTGTGTTCTATAAAATTTCTAACAATTGAAACCACTTATTACATTTTAACAATTCACTGGTATCAAGTTTTATAACGATATCAATTTTATTTTATTTATCCTTTTTTATTTTTCCTAAATACACCCAACGCCTAGAAGGATGGGCCCAAAAATTTTCAGATAAATCAAAAGTTTTCAGGTGATTATAAAAAACAAAAAAAAAACAAAAAAAACAAAAAAAGAAAAAAAAATCACATCATTCTTTTCCCAAGCAAAATTTTACTGATTGATGAGAACGTAACTGATCTCTTGCAGTTTTACGATTTAAAAAAAAAAAAAAAAAAGGAATTAAAAAGAAAGAAAAAAATTTCGGTAAAGAATAATTGAATCTCCTTTCTTTTTTTTTTTCTTTTTTCTTTTCTTTTTTTTACCCCTTGAAATTTATCAAGTAACCTTGATGGGGGAAATCAGTTCAAGGTTTAACTTTCGGTGGAAACTCATTGTGTATCATTCTAACTCGAGACAAATATAAAAAAAAAAAAAAGAGGAAAATACAAAGAAAAAAAAAATGAAGAAAAAACTGAACGAACTGTGTCGACATTCGTGTTATCGTGAAAAAAAAGAAAAAGGAAAAAAAAAAAGAAAGAAAAAGAGGGAAAAAAAATGGAAAAAAAGAAAGAAGAGAAAGAAAGAAGGGAAGAAAAAAAGGAAAAAAGAAATCATCAAAAGACAATATACAGAGAAAGACATATACAGACACTTGTAGTAATAATAATAATGATAATAATAATAATAGTAATAATAATAATAATAATAATAATAATAATAATAATAATAATAATAATAATAATAATAATGATAAAAAAGAAAGATAAAGAGAGAAAGGAATTAGATCTAAGTACGTAAAGATAGCATAATCTAATGGTAAAGGAAAACGTACTAATATATCATAAAAGATAAGAATATCTTAATCGATAAGAATATCTGATCGATCGATGGATCGATCAGTCGATCGAGATTGGTCGAATGACTGACTGACTTACCGGATTGGTCGGACTCTTCGACCGGTTTTGGTTGGAAGAGTTCCTTGAAGTGAGGCTTACAGTAAAGCGTACTCTCGTGGCTCTCATAATTGTCGACGTTAAGCTGCTTGCTGCACTGTACGCACCGGAAGCAATTCTTATGCCAGACCAAACCCTCGGCCTTTGTCTGTTCCATTTGGAACACGACCTTGCCGCAACTCCGGCAATTTTGGTTTGCCTCGCCATTTTGGCCCACCTAAACATTTTAATCCGTACCGACAATTATGCGAGATGCCTTTTATTTCACTTTCATATTCCAACGTGTAGATATCTATTGTTATGTACACACAAGTACATATAAACACACACACACGCGCGCGCGTGTATATGTGTATGTATATAAATATGTGTGTTTACGATGACGTATTAACAGTTTTTCTTTTACTTTTTTTTTTCTTTTTTTTTCTTTTTTTTTTCTTTTTCCTCTTAACAAGGTTGATATTAATTGATCGATTTAATATTACAATTCGAAATTTATATATTAATTTGACTTTTATTATTCCGATAATAGTCCGATCATCCTATTAGATATTTTCTAAAAATATTTATTATTTAATATAAACGGTGATTGATCGGTACTGTTTTCCTTCTTTTTTTTTTTTTCTTTTTTCTTTTGTATTATTTTATTACTCTTTCAAACTGTGATCTTGTAATATTTAATTTAGTTTAATTTTTTTTTCCGTCTTGACAATATTTTTGGCGACGGTCAGTGTAAACAAAAATTTCAAAAAAGAAAAAAAAAAAAGAAGAAAAAGAACAACCTGACTGTAGCATAACAATTTTTTGTTCGTGTGTTATCAATGAATTAATTTATAATTTTTTTTATTATTTTTGCATATGTATATATATATATTTTTTTTATAATAATCGACTTATTTAAAAAATTTCAATGAATTAACTTTTACACATACACACACACACACAGACAAATATATATATATATATATTTTATTTTTTAGTATAATTTCAATTTCTTTTTTTGTTTTTTGAATATTTTATTTTCTATGATATTTATCAGAGTCACAATATTTAATAAAATTTTCAAAGTGACATTTCAATTGTGATGGGTAAAAAATTTTTGCACCCTTTCGATATATCATTAATTAAAACAAACTCACGGCATTTAATTGTTGTTGAACTTTTCCTGCATCGACCGAGCGCACATGGAGAACCGTCTTTTTGCTCAGTGCGTCGAACTTGTTGAAACTCGATTTCTGTAAATTACGACGTATAAATAGATAGATAAATCGTGAAGTATTGTTATATAATAAAATTTATATAGGATTATAAAAAAAAAAAAAAAAAAAAAAAAAAAAAAATCAAAAAATTGCCAATTGCGAAGAATCGAACGCTCACTTTGGTCGTCCAAAAAATCGTAGATCCGTTCGTGAAAATTCGTCGTCCATTAAACGAATTGTTTTACAATTTAATGTATGAAGAAGAAAAAAAAAACAACAATGATAAATAAATAAAAATAAAAAAATAAAATAAATCAATAAAAATAAAAAAAAAAAAAAATAAAACAATTAAATTAAAATCAACTATTCACAAAGATTTCGTTGAAAATAATTTGCATGGACAATTATTCAATAAATACAATATACCATATCCATAGACGATATACAGAGAACATTTATTAATTTAATATTAAACAAATAATTTGATACTAAACAAAACAAAAAAAAAAATAAATAAATAAAAAAATTACATTTAACGAGCATGTACATCTTCTGAGATATTTTATCAAAATAATACGATAAAATATTCCAAAGATCTATGAAATTTTTTCTCTACGAGAAAATACTACAATCAGATACGAGATATTAGAAATTAGATTACATATTATATATACTTAAAATTAAAATATTGTCAGATACATTATACACATATATATATGTAAATATAATTTGCTAAAAATTTAATTAAAAAGGATGATGAGATACATATAATATCTGAAGTATATGATATTATATTATACTGATGAAATACATATAGATATATACATATATATTATCTATAGTACTATCTATTACATATATATATATATATATATATATATATATATATATGAGATAGATATACATACACATTATTTATCATACTATATACACACACACATATATATATGTGTGTGGTATGATATTATATGATATGATATTATATGATATGACATATAAAAATTATCTTTCTCTTTTTTTCTTAGATGAGAATGACGATGCAAAAGCCTTCTTCTATTTATCTTTTAAAAACTGGCATAAAAAGCAAGAGGAAGCTGTTAAAGTGAGAAAATAAAGAATAAAAAAAAATCAAAAGAGAAAAAAGAAAGTAGAAAGAAAAGGAACAAAAAGGAAAAAAAAAAGTAATAAACGAAACGAACAAAAAGAAAAAAAAAAAGAAAAAAAATAAAAGGAAGCAAAAGAAGAAGATGAAGAGAAACAAAAAATGAAGAAGAGGAACAAAGATGTGAAAAAATAAATAAATAAATAAATAATCGAAGTAAACGAAAATTTAAGAAAAAAAACAAAAGAAAATAAAACTGTTTGCAAATCATCATATCCACAGGCTTCTTACCTCAAACCTCGGCCTCCCAAGAATTTGATCCTTCTCTTTACCCTCGCTTGTTAGGTTTGCCAAACTACAGTAGGAAGCCCTCTGCGTTCGCGGAGGTCGATTTCGTAATATTTTTTCGGTTAGGGTTTCATGCACCAGATAGGCCATAGAGAGGGAGTCATCGTACAAAAAGAAAGAAACAACACACGGTCTGCTGGTTAGTGCGTGGTCAATTTTTTAAACAAGCATTTACCTTGATACACTCCGGTTTCTTCTTCTCTGAAGGTGCAGGCAATCGATTGGATTTTTATCACATTAATTCTTTTTTTTCTTTTTCTTTTGCTATCTGGGGAGCAATATTTCTATTCTCCCTATTTCTTTTTCTTTCATGAGGATCACTCGAACGTTTAAAAAAAAAGAAAAAAAAAAAAATAGGAAAATGAAAAAAAAAAAGAAAGAAAGAAGGAGAAAGAAATAGTTCCGTATTTTTCGAACAAAAAAAAAAATGAAAAGATTACTATGATTGAATGTTAACAAAAAAAAAAAAGAAAAAAAAATGTACACATATATTTATATTTTTCTTTTTAATGATTATTCCAGTTTCGAAAAAGAAAAAAAAAGAAAAAGAAAAAGAAGAAGAAGAAAGAAGTTTAGTTTCGAATTTTGAGAAAAAGAAAAAAAATAAAACAAAAAGAAAAAGATAAGAAAAGAAAATTATTTGTATCTATTGATTAGGATGCATGTTTTATTTATTTTATTTTATTTTAATTTCTATAATGATTAATAAAATATAATATGTTTATCTGAGGAAATGAGAAAATATTTCATTATTAAAGAATAGAAGATTCTTAATGATTATAAATTAGATTATTTCTTTTTTCCTTTTTTTTTTTTTTTTTTTTTTTTTTAATTAATTAATTAAAAATTCAATAATGTACGTATCCCATATAACACTTAAATCGTTCCACTTTCGTTCGTGCAAATTTATCGTTGATTTATCATTAATTTGCAAACGTAAACTTACAGATTATAATTCGTTTATAAATGCGATCTATTTAACTTTATCTCTTTTTTGCTTTCCTTTTGTATCTTATTTTGAAAAATTATAAAAATGTCGAGAAAAAAGAAACAACTTCGAAACATACACTATATATATATATATATATATAATAAACAATACATATATAATATATATTGTTTATTTTGTTATTATTGTTTATATTGTTTATTTGTTATATTGAATTTTTTTTATAAGAGACAAGAACGTAAAAGTGTAACGAGTTTTTCCCCATGGCTAATATTTCTAAACGAAATGGAATTTTTTTTCTTTTCTTTTTTTCTTTTTTTTTTTCTTTTCCTTTTCCATTTCTTTCCTTTTCTTTCCTTTTCTTTTGTGGGACAAGAGCAATGAGATTACACACGAGTCCCTTGAGCTTGTCCCATAGCAATAAAGTTACGACATAAAGTTACGGTTAGAGTCTACGGGTAAAAAGGGTACGACCGAGAGAGGGAGAGGGGGAGAGAGAGAGAGAGAGAGAGAGAGAGAGAGAGAGAGAGAGAGAGAGAGAGACTGGGAAGAGAGAAAGAAAGCTGCACTGCACCAACAGGGAGAGAAGATGTACTGTAAACGAAAAAAAAAAAGGCAAAAGAGGAAAGAAAAAAAGAGAGAACGACGAGGAGGACGTTAAAGACGACGAAGTTAGAAATCGTATCCAAAAACACTTTGGTCAAGTAAAAATTCTTCCCTACGAATTCTTCAATGTTTACGAATAGATTTTTTTTTTTTTTTTATTCTTTGGAGATCTTTTTTTCCCCCGTAACTTTATTGTTCTCGTTTATTTTTCAATGGTTACAGCGTTCAAAAAAAAAAAAAAATATTTCCCTTCTAATCGACAACGATTGATAATTTATATCTTAGACAAATAAAACAAATAAATCGAGAAATCAAAAAAAATAGAGTAAAACCATAGAAAGAGATAATTGAGAAAGATTACATTACAAACACGTTTGATCGTTAATGTTTTAATGAAAAAAAAAAAAAAAAAAAAAAAAAAAAAAAAAAAAAAATAAGGGAAAAAGATTTCAAAAGATACGACGTATGTTACCAAAAAAAAAAAAAGGAAGAAAAAAAAGACAAACAAAAAGAATGTATATATATATTATTTATATATACATATAAAATATTGTATATATGTAATATATAATTATTATTAATTATATATATTAAGAAAGTACAGAAAGAGATAGAAATAGATATTTTTCATGAGAGAAAAAGAGACAGAGAGAGAGAGAGAAAGAGAAAGAGAAAGAGAGAGAGAAAGAGAGAGAGAGAGAGAGAGAGAGAGAGAGAAAGGGAGTGAGAAGGAAATGTTTAACGAGTTAAACGAAAATTTATGATATATTAATTATTATGAAAGAATGATCGATCTTTCGAAGATATTTATATATATCGCGAGAGATCGGCTTGATCGGAATGATGTCACAGATCGGGACGAAATCCTTAACCGGTCGGTAACCGATAAACGGAGCGTGTGCAAGCGCAAAAGGTAAAAAAAAACTCGTAATCGGCGTAAGTAAGTAAGTAAGTAAGTAAGTAAGTAAGTAAGTAAGTAAAGTAAGTAAGTAAGTAAGTAAGTAAGTAAGTACGCAAGGCGATTCTTCGAGCGTGCTACGCACGCTGACGTAAAGTAGGGCAGAAGTAAGTAGTAGGTTATTATCAAGTCGGCCCTTCCTTAAATGGAGAGACAGCATTTGTGCCATGGCAATGAGAAAGAGAGAGAGAGAGAGAGACAGAGAGAAAACGAGAGAGAGAGAGAGAGAGAGAGAAAACGAGAGAGAGAGAGAGAGAGAAAGAGAGAGTGCACATACATACAAAAGACATACAAATGGGAAGGTATAATTTTCTTCGTGTTTTCTTTAACGAGAGATCAGGATCAATGTGTGAGCTTTATTTAAAAATTTCCTAACTGTTTAATTTAATTGTTTAATTAATTACTCTTCACGTATAATAATATTCATCGAATGTATTTCTAGTTGTTTTCCTTTTTCTTGATTGGTTTATTTTTTGTTTATGTTTCTTTTTTTTTTTTGGTGGGATTAGAACAATGCCAATGTACAAAACTATATCTAATTTTGAATTTTAACAGACGAAAGAATTTTTTTATACTAAAATCTAATATCTTTTGTGTATGGCGAAAGTAAAAGAGAACAAAGACAAACAAAAAAGAAAAAAAAAAAGGAAAGAAAAAAGAACAAGAAAGAGGATGAATAAATTTTTGTCCGAGGAAAAAAAAATTAACATATATAATTGAAATTTTTTAAAGAAGATAAGATTTTTTTTTAACGAGAGAGAAAGAGAGAGAGTGAGAGAGAGAGAGAGAAAGAGAGAGAGAGAGAGAGAGAGAGAGAGAGAGAGAGAGAGAAATATATTTTCTCAGAAAGAAATATTTTTAATTATTTTTTTTTTTTTTTTTTTTTTTAATAAATTTTATTTTTTCGTCTAAATAAATAAAATTCGTAGGATCGATTCGATGAAAGAAGAAACAAAAAATGAAGAACAAGACAAAAAAAAAAAAAAAAAGTAAATAAAAAAATTTTCTCCAAACGCAAAATAATATATATGCCAAATTGAAAAATTATGACGACTGACGATTTTTCTTTTATATTTTTTTTTACTATCCAACGAGTGACAGTTCTATTAGAAATTAATTTTTAAAAACGAATTGTATATAGATCGTAATAAGTTCACCGTAAGAGTATAGAAAATTAATTCTCTACGTTTATATCTATAATATCATCCTTGTCCTCGTCGTTTCTCTTTTCGGAGCTTCGAAGCTTTGACTAATGTACTTACGAGGGCCTTGACCGACACCCCGGCGAAGACAGGTGCGTCTTTGCAGAACTTGGAGAAACCCTGCTCGCATACTCTCAGATCACCCATCGACTTTGCTTTCTACGATGGTCGAAAGCCATCAACGAGAATTTTGATTAATCGGGCAAAAACGGGAATCCTAAATCGAGAGATTATACCGAAATCTTTCTCAAATTCATACATAAAGCAAAAGAAAGAAGGAAAAAAAAAAAAAAAAAATCAAATTACAATCGTCAACAAAAATGTAAAAAGAAAAAAAAAAAATAATAATAATAATAATATCGGTTTAATCTCTTAATTGTTAATCGATTGAGAATATATATTATTTCAAGTTAAAAAAAATAAGGATTTAAAAGAAAAAAGAAAAAAAAAGGGAGAGATAAAAGATAAAAGAAGATAAGAGAAAAAAAAAGTACGAACTATGAAATATGTCAGCAAAACTCTATAAAGATTAATATTATGTTAGAAAATAAATCATTCGGCATTATTGAAATTAATTGTTACTAAGCATTAACAAATTGGTCTTATGATTCATGCAAAGATAAAGGAATAGGTTCATCGAAAAAAATTCTAATATTATATATATATATATATATTTCTTTTTATATATATATAGAGAGAGAAAACTAATTATTAGGTTCAACTTTAATCGAAAAAAAAGTAAATAAATAAATAAATAAATAAATAAAAAAAGAACGCATTCGAATGCTCGCATGTATCAGTATTAGAAATATTCCCTTGTTTGGAAAAATGATTATGAGAACTTCTAATTTCATTCGTATGTATATATATAGACACATATATGTCTATTTTTATATAACAATAATAATAATAATAATTTAATAAATTTAATAAAAATAAATATATATATATATAAGAAAAATAATAATAGTAGGAGTAATAGTAGTAGTAATAATAATAATAATAATAATAATAATAATAACAATAATAATAATAATAATAATAATAATAATAATAATGTTAATGATAATGATAATAATAATAATAATAATAATAATAATAATAATAATAATAATAATAATAATAAAGATAATAATAATAATAAAAATACTTTTATATTTCGTGCCTCGTCTAAGATGAAAATTTCATAAGCGTTTGATAATTGTCTAAACTTTTTGTTTTTAGAATTTAGAATAATCATCGAATACAAACCTCCTCGATTTCCATGGAATTTGTTCTTCCAAAAGTAGTCTGATCAGCCTCGCTCATGTTCGAGATGTCGCCGAAGCTACGACACTGTTATCGATAATAAAACAGATCTGACACACAACTATATATATATATATATATTATATATATGTATGTATGTGTATATATGTATACATATATAAATATATATATATATACACACACACACACACACACACACAAAAGATGTATAACAAAAATCTAATTTTTTTTTTTTTTTATATTGCATTCGTTTTATAAGAAAGAAAAATTTTATTCATTTTATTGCGTTCGTAAGAAACGAATTTGTTACGATATCCCGAAATAATTTTATGGTTAATTTAATATATCGTTTTAATTGTTCCAGAAAGTTGAGTTTCTTTTTTTTCTTTTCTTTTTTCTTTTTTTTTTCTTTTCTTTTTTTTTTTTCTTTTTTTTTTCTTTTTTTTTGCGGTACGTACCAACTGTTTAATAGAGACACCGGTCGCGATTCGTTCCTTGTTAGATCTTTCCTGCTCGTTACGTTTCGCCTCGGACACGTAATTCTGTGTCTACATGCACAAAACCACAAAATGTACGCAACAGATGTGTGTATAGTATAATCCACCGTTAGGCACGCTGTCGTTTTAAAGTTAATTACGTCTAAACTTTTTAATATACCCATAACATTGTAGAAAATTTTATTCAAAACACATGCAAATAGAGAAACAAACGAATCGAAGAGAAACAAAACAAAACGAAACGAAGCGAAACGAATTGAAACAAAATAAAAAAGAAAAAAAGAAAAGGAACCAATAACGAACTTGACGAACGAACGCAGGAAGAAAAAGGGGGGAAATAAAAAAAAAAAACGAAAAAAAAGAAAAAGACGAAAAATTTACGACGAATAATTTCTAATTTTTATTTTTTCTTTTTTTTTTTTTCCTGTTTCATTTCGTTTCGTCTCGTTTTGAAAATTATTTCTCTTTTTTCCTTTTTTTCTTTCCGATAATCGAGCTCGTAGAAACAAAAGTAGTGATATTATTTTTTTCTTTTTTTTTTTTTTTTTTATATATTATTTCACAATTAATTCGTTAAACATCTATAATATCACGTAACTTGTATATTTCATGTTACAAATTTATCTTAGATATTTGAATTTTTAAAAATATATGAATTTTCAATAGAAACAAATTTAATTGTTACTTTATATACGAAGTTGTTTTTTCCTTTTTTTTTTTTTCTTTTTTTCTTATATTTTATATAATTATATTAGTATAAAATAAAATTATATAATTAATATTCAATGTACTATAATTATACCATATACCGTATATAATTATTACAAATTGTATTTAATATATTGTAATTATCTTTTTGTTTTTTGTTTATACGTAGCAAAACTGTATGAACAATAATAATATAATTTTCACGTTATACGATTTGACTAATAAACAAGATTAAAAAAAAAAAAAAAAGAAGGAACAAGAAAAAAGTAATAAAAAAATTAATTGATGATTAATTAATCCGTCAAAAATAAGTAAATATAAACATTTTTATACAAACGCATTCTATAATCAAAAATTATTTCTAAAAAGCATTACCATATTGTCAACGAGCTCGATTCTCAATTGTTAGTTAATAATTAAATAAAATGTTAAAAACTGCATACGAAGCGGATTATTTCAATCAAAGACGGCAACAAGTAGTTCAAAAAAATTATTATATATATAATATCACAATATATATATATATATATATAGACATACGTAAATATATCATATATAATTAACCATACACAAATATATATATAAATATATATATATATATATATCATTAATTATATATAATAAAAAAAAATATATATATATTATATCATATATACATATATACCTATTATTCCCAATCGAAACGTTTCCGAATAAATCTATGTCAATTTTTATCGATCCAATTGATAGAGTGAGAGAGAGAGAGAGAGAGAGAGAGAGAGAGAGAAAAGATAGACAGAAAGTGATAGATAGATAGATAAAGAGATGGAAAGAGATAGAAATAGAGAGAGAGAGAAAAAGAGAGAGAGAGAGAGTTTCTACTCGATATAACTTACCAATGATTTAACGTTGACATTCGATAGATCGTCCTCGTCGGAGAAATCGATCATCTCTTGGTTGATCATTCTCGAGCCAGTATGCATGCTTGCGTCTTGCAAATCAGAGTTCTGATAGACAGAAAAAAAGGAGGAGAAAAAAAAAAGAAAGAAAAAAAAAAAGAAAGAAAGAAAAAAGGGGATAGCTCGAATGCGCATACACACATACACGGGCACACATACAAATGCAATATTTGAAAAGTTTTTAAGTTAATACCATGCAATTTCGATCTATTACAAAGTTCAGGCCACCCATTAATTTACCCCGTGTTAATTGTTTGTTTTCTTTTTTTTGTTTTGTTTCTGTTTTTGTTTTGTTTTGTTTTGTTTTTTTTTTTTTTTTTTTTTTTTTTGATCATCGTACATAAGACTATAGAGTACATAAGAGGATGATATATTATAATATTTTTTTTAATATTTCAATTATAAAAATTTTAGTTGTTATATTTTATATTATATACACGTACAAGGTGTCCCATTTAATTTTAATTATTTTAATCACCTTCGTTATTTTTAATAATAGACACTAAAAGAACATTTTGGAATATAATATGTAATGTGTATTTTAATAATTTATTTCTAATTTCTTCAAAATCGTACGAAATAATTCAATGTGAGGTGTGAAATTTAATAAAAAGAAAAAAGAAAAAAGAAAAACGTGTCAATCATCATATTTCGTATCACACAATTTCACACATTTTTTTGAATCGGTTAAAAAACGATTAATTACGTTAAACAGGACACCCTGTATATTTGCAAATGAATAATCATATTTTCTATTTTGTTTCTGATTTGAAAGGGGGAGAATGAAAATATGAGAAAAATGTGAAATGAATAAATAAATATATATGTTAATAAATCAATAAATATGAGCAAATATGAAGATAATTTTGTAAAAATTAAAGAGAAAAGGAAAAAAGAAAGAATGCAATTCTAATCAAAGAAAAATATAAGACTGAGACGAAACCTTGTATAGTTCAATAAACTATTGATTATCTTCGATAATTTTATTTGTTCCTTTCCTATTCAATCTTGTTCATTTTCAAATGGAAAATATAAGAAAAGGGTAAAATAAATTAATTATTTAATTAAAAAAAGAAAAAAAAAAATTTTAAGAAAATATAAATAATTTCAATAAATATTTCTTCCTCGATAATTAATATTTCCCGTTCCATTTTGAGAAAGGAAAATAAATGAATAAGTAAATAAATTGAATAAAATGAAGTAAAAGAAAATAAACTAAAAAAACGAAAAAAAAAAAAAAGAAAAAAGAAAAAAAAAGAAAAGAAAAAAAAACAAATAGAAAACGAAATAAATTCAAAATTGAAACGCAATCACGTATATCACAATAAAAATAAGCGTAACCCCAACAATTTATATATTTTCTATACCATATATTTCACCATAGAAAAGAAATGAAAATACGAGACATAGAGAAAAAGAGAAAGAGAGAGAGCGAGAGAGAGAGACAGAGAAAGAGAGAGAGAAAGATAGAATTAAAGATTAAATAAAAAAAAAATAATAATAATAATAATAATAAATAAGTAAATGAAATGAAATTAAATAAAATAAATAAATAAATAAATAAATAAATATATATATATATATTCGTATATAAAAAAACAAAAATTCCTAGGATATTAAAACGAACGTTTCCAGTTCTGATCTCATGACGACATATTTCCAAACTATTAATTATCTCCCTAACGGTACCACTGGATGATTATAATACATTTCTGTCACGAAAGTTGCTCCCCACGTTTCTTTTCTTCGTTATCTTCCTTTCTTTTTCTCTTTCTCCGATATTTTTTTTTTTCTTTTTTTTTTTTTCTTTGTATACATTTTTTTCTTTCTTCCTTTCCTTCTCTTCTCTCTCTTTCTCTCTCTCTCTCCCTCTCTCTCTCTCTCTCTCTTTCTTTCTTTCGTACCCTCTATCTCTCTGTCCTTCTCTTTCTCTCGGTATCCTTCATTAGTACTTATAATTTTTGTTAATTTTGAAGGAGAAAAAAAGAGAAGACATGAAAAAAAAAAGAAGACAAAGGAGAAAGAGAGAGATGGGGGAAAGGAGAGGGAAGGAAATGAGAGAGAGAGAGAGAGAGAGTGAGAAAGGAGGGTTGAGGATATAAGACTTACCACGGATATGTTCTCCTTTTCTAAATCACTCTTCTTACTCTTCTTAGTTTTCTTAGTACGTGGAGTGAGATTAGGGGATGCATCGTTACCAGCTACCCCCTCGATTTTCTTCTTTTTTGTTTTATTAGTAACACCGGCAGCGCCCTTAGACGAGCTGCTCATCACCGTTGTAATTGTCGACGTTGTACTGCTCGTCGTTGTTATCTTCTCCTCGCGACTTTCGCTCTAACAGATCATAGAGATAATGTGTAAACGAAAAAAAAAAAAAAAGTAAAGAAAAGAAATAGAATAGAATAGAATAGAATAGAATAAAATAAAATAGAATAGAATAGAATAGAATAGAAAAAAGACAAAAAGAAGTAAATAATAAATTATGTAATGTTGTTATCGATCGAAATAGAGAGACAAGGAGATAGATCGATAGATAAATCATCGAGAAATGATTTATTTACTTTTTTTTTTTTTTTTTTTTTTTTTTTTTTTTTTTTTTTTTTTTTTTTTTTTTTTTTTTTTTTTGAAATAATATATTACGTGTAATTATTCTATGAAATATTTAAATCGATGTTTATTATGTAATATGTATGAATTAGTATGTGATGTATGATATAGTTTTATGTAAATATATGTTAAATATATATATATACATATATATATATATATATATATATATTCGTTCAATATTTTAAACGTATATCTGATAAAATATATTAATGCTGTAATAAATGTTGTTGAGTTATTATAAAAGTAATGTTGTAATAAAAATTATGTCGACATTTTTAATAATACATATTGAAATTAAGTAATCATTATTATAAATAAATATTTTAGATTTGATTTAATAACACGCGATATTTTTTTTTGTATCGTAAAAGAAAAGAAAAGAAAAAAAAAAAAAAGGAAGAAAGAAAAGAAATGTTTGGTATCTTGTATCCGAATAAAAATAATACTGTGTGACATTTTTTTTTTTAATTGATAATGTTTGGCATCGTTACTTACATGCATGTAAGTAAAAATAATACTATACACCGTTTTATATCTAAGTAAAAAAAATAAAAAAAATAAAAAAAAAAGAGAAGAATAAAAATAAATTTTTTACTTTTTTATACTTTGATAGTGTTGTTTCATTAGGGGAAAAAAAAAAAAATTTAACATTTTATATCTAAACAAATATAACACTAGTTCTTTTGTTTTTTTGTTTTTTTTTTCTTTTTTTTTTTTTTTTTTTTTTAATTGAAAATTTTAAACATTTCATATCTAAATGAATAACGTTAAGTTATATATATATATTTTTTTTTATTCTTTTCATTTAAAAAATTATTTAACACTTAATAACTAAATAACTAACACGCTCTAGAGTATTTTGTTTGTCGAAATATTTTCCACTATATATTATAATCAAATAAATTATATTAATTTCAATATAATTAATTGTATTATATTAAACATTCTGATAAATTGACTTTGTTAATCAACCCATTATTACTATATTATTATATTCTGTTATATACGATATAACACTATTACCATTATACTAGTTTATTACGACATAAGTTTGGCAATTAATATCAATATCAACGTTATTACGATATAACACAATTAATATTCAAATTGCTTATTATAAAACAATGTATTATTTAAATTTCTATAACCTATATCGAATAAACATAAAAGTAAACAAGTCTCGAGAGAGAGAGAGAGAGAGAGAGAGAGAGAGAAAGAGATAAAGAGAACACACGATCGACTTTCTATTATGAAATTAAAACGTATGTCTAACGCTTGAGAGTTCATCGAACGTTTCGTTATACAACAACGATATTTTAATAATAATTATAATAATAATAATATATAAAAAAAAAAAAAAAAAAAAGAAGAAAAGAAAAGAAAAAGAAAAGAAAAATCTCGCTCGCGTATAAGATTCTCTCTCTCTCTCTCTCTTCTGTGTGCGTACGTATATATGCGTGAATCTATGTATGTGTATGAGAATTTATATATATATATGTGTGTGTGTGTGTGTGTGTGTGTATGTATCCATGTTCGCGAACCACGCGATGAAAGACATAATGAGCGGAGCCGGTACGTAACTTCAGGAACTCGATTCTACAATTACACTACTACAATATTCTTCCCTGGCAACGGAGAACCTTTCGAAACTTACGACGGCCGATGTTTCCTGACCGCACGACGATGGTGGTGTCGTAATTAATATAGTTCTCCTTTATCCGACCATTCACCGTGTGTATTCTTAACCGTAAGAAGAGACTAGAAGAGACCGATCTAAAACGGCGATAAAGATAATTCGGTACCGTACGATCCCAAACCAACATGTTTCTACGAAACACAAAATAAAAAATTGTGTGACGGAGAGAGATCGAAAGAGATAGAAATAGAAAAAGAGAGAGAGAGAGAGAGAGAGAGAGAGAGAGAAGGATGAGAGAGGTCGAATGATCATTCTAGCTCGTCTCTCGTCCTCCTGACTTACTTTCCCGATATAAAATTTCGATAATATTGATCTCACATGGCGAGAAAGTTTTAACTACGATTTCCTATTTTTATTTTTTTATTTATTTATTCATTTATTTATTTATTTTTTTTTTGTTTTGTTTTTCGTTTGTTTTGTTTTGATACGGTTTTTTTTTTCCTCGATACAATACCGACTTTTATCTATATGGTTTCTAGTTCATATGTGATTACATTTGTAGAATATATGAATAGTATACATACATTATATAGTATATATAGATATATATAATGTTATGTATATATCTACATAATATACATTTATTCCATAGGAAAAATTTGTAAATTTTAAATATGTTATAGACGTACGTTTCTCTCTCACTTTTTCCTTTTTTTTTTTTTTTGTTCCTTTTTTTAAGAATTTTCGCATCGACATATAAACGTTGATATGTAATAGCCAATAAAAATAAAACAAAAAATAAAAATAAAAATAGGATACAGATTTTATATCGAAATATTTCATATAGAAATAATTTTTATGAAATATGAATATCTGAATTATGGTTAAATAAGATATATATATATATATATATATATATATATGTATATTTTTTTTTTTAAAGAGAAATAATGTCTGCCAAAAATCATAAAAATAATTAATATTGATGAGACGTATAAAAAAAGGAATAAATATTATTTTCTTTTTTTTTTTTTTTTTTTTTTTTTTTATGAATTTTGGTAAATCTAATACATATGTCATTCTTGTTGACACGTAATACTAACAGTAAATAGAAATATATTTTAATAATGAATGAGAAATATTTTAACGAATAATTATAAGATAAAACAAAAATATATTCGTTAGAAAATTCATATTTTTTGGAAAATCATAAAAAATAAAAAAAAGAAGTATTTTCTCAACGAGCACAAATGTCAATTATAAAATTACTATACCTAAATTTTCTGATTGATATAATCGATCTTATACATTTTCTCTCTCTCTCTCTCTCTCTCTCTCTCTCTCTCTTTCTCTCTCTACGTAAATATTTACACACTTGAAATATAAAAGAAAAACACTTTTTAAATAATGATTAGAACTAAAAAAAAAAAGAAAAAAAAATATCTATTAAAAAAAAATTTGTATTTTCGGAAAACCAAAAAAAAAAAAAGTCAATCAATCAATCAATCGATCGATCGATCAAAAAAAGAAAAAGAAAAAAAAAAGAAAAAAAAAGGAAAGAAAGAGAATAAAAATCATCAACCAATTAACACACATGTCAATCGTAAAATTGCTATAATCAAATTTTCGTATCGTAAGAAACGAAATCCTCTCCACTCCCATCTTCCGCCGTTCTTCACGTTTTAAGGATTACGACGTTACGTGGACAAAAAGTATTATCGCGAGTTCAACGGCACGGTATATCGCGTTGGCAAAACCCAACGGAACGTACTTCCTACTTCGCTTAATGAAAATTTATAAAGAGACGACGTGTTAAAGCAGCCGCATGTCGTTTATAAATTCCAACGATAAATAGCGACGACACGTACTTACGTACCCTTGGTTACATATTCACCCTTTCTCTCTCTCTCTCTCTCTCTCTCCCTCTCTCTAACCCTCTCCGCATTCTCTATATATGGTCTACTCGCAATAAATAAATTACAACTACATTACCTTGGGATCATATAATAAATCTCGACGCCATTGAACGACACAAAAATGGTGTAAGAAAAAAAAAAAAGAAGAAAAAAAAAAGAAAAAGAAAAAAAAAACAAGAAAAAAAAATAAATAAATAAATAACACGCACGAACACGAATCCTTTAAAAGTTGCACATTGTACGCGTAGAAATAATAACAATAATAAGTTTCGATCAAAAATAATACGAATAATACGATTATTAACACATTATTGAAAGTAATTATGATTAATACGATTAAAAGGGGGTTTGAGGAGAGGGGGGAGGGGCGAGGAGGGGGAGAAGGGTGGACCAGATTTCATTTAGATTCACTTCGTTCGCGTTCGAATTAAAAAGGGCCACGATATACACACACACACACACGCGCGCAGAGAGAAATAGAGAAAAAAAAAAATGGCGAGAACGCGCGACCAAGAAGAAGAAGAAGAAGAAAAAGAAGAAGAAGAAGAAGAAGAAGAAGAAGAAGAAGAAGAAGAAGAAGAAGAAGAAGAGCCAACCTTAAAACGAAAGGACGTCGGGAAGTCACTGACGATCGTCGAGTTTCGAAGCACCACCATCACCGTCGACAGCGAGTATGCGAAAGGACGAAGACGTTTCTACCATGACTGTAGACGAAAGGAAAGCTAGAGAAAGAAAGAAAGAGAAAAAGAGGAGAGAGAGAGAGAGAGAGAGAGAGATAGTGAAAGAAGAAGAAGAAGAAGTGGGATCGGTAAGGTAGGGAAAAGAAGAGGGGGTTGGGGAGGGAGGGGGATTGACGACGAAGAATACAAGTCTCTCTCTCTCTCGTCTGTTCTTTCGAACGAGGAATGGTTCGTCTGTCTTATATGCCTTGTGTGTATGTGTGTTGTGTGTCGGTGTGTGTATCCTCGAAAGGGGGGAACCCTTCGAGTTCCTTCTCTTCGGCAACACTTCTAGCAGAACACTAGACTCGAGTAGATTCACCGAGACGGAACGTTCCGACTTACATTAGCGATCGTCCTCGAAAGAGGAAGTGCCAAAACGACTTTGAAGATACAAACGAGAACCAAATGTAAAGGATTATTTC